TTAATTATCATATCTTTTCGTTCCCTAAGCAGGGCGTGCTATCACCAAGGTCGTCTTCAGTTAGGCTTTTTCATGAAAGACGTTTGATTCATAACCTAGTCCTCTAGTCACAAAAGAAGTATAGTAAGGGCAAATGCACTGTAACCTTCCCTGCAATAGAGTACCCAATGTAGCATGTGTATGTTTAACCGTGGTAAATTTTGAAAAGTGAAAAGAAGTTCCAGTTCTATGTCATTCCTACTCATTCCCTTGCTGAAACTGCCATTCTATCAATCCATGGTAGCCTTGTTACTGGCATAGGACTAAGTCCAGTGCGTTTAATATACACCAGCAGTGATCCTCCATCCACCTACTTCTGTGTGCGAAGGATGGAAGAGAGGATGAAAGAAAAAGGATTTTTTCCTGTAATAGTTGCAGGAAAGTGCAGTTTAATTCATGTGTCATTTTAAAATTCTGCTACAACCTGTGTCATCATTAGCTAATATAGAATTATATATAAATGTAAAAACAAGTGTCAGTGAGATAATTAAATAAGTTATGTGATTATCTGTCTGGAAGTAATCATACAGATACAATCAGTATTGTTGAAATACTACATTATTCTTTTATGTACAAACACATATTGCAAGGTGTTGCGATAATTGCAACATTGCATAATAATGTTAATTTTTTTCATCTTTGAATGAATTATTAATGTATTTAAGTTGATGCCACCTGACACAGTAAAAAAAATATGTGAAAAATATGAAGTTACATTTTGCCTCTCAGATGTAAAGATACATATAGATCAACTAGTTTGCCACTATGAAGAAACAGGCAAGAAATTGCCAACTACAATTGAATACTGAAATGGTTCTGATGGAATTGTAATGAGTAGATGCTAGCTATCAAAACTGATTATTTGTTCTCTTATGTAAAAAATTAACTTTCTGGACAGTTGGGCCTCAGATTTTTTTTAAGAAATAGGCTCAGAGTTGTGACAGCTTTTAATGCATATGTTGCTGAAAACTACCACTATTAGATTGTTCTACTATAATTATTATCTGAAGATGGGATTTGATTTATGACCTTGCAGGAGGAAGACCTAAAATCAGTTTTATAATTCTTGGAAAGAAAAGATTTGTTTTCAACTGATTGGAAAACACCAACTTTGGGAAGGGGGAAGGAAAGCAGGGAAAGGGAGAAAAATCCTAGCTGTTTTCTAGATCATTCAGCTGTGAAGAGTTTGCCACAGCCTTTGATCAATGTACTATTTGGCTTCTAAATTTTGTTGTATGTGGTTATTACATAATCATTAAAAACTAAGAATAATATCAGCATCTGTTTTCAATTTAAAAATGGGCATAGTTGCCCAAGCCTTATTGCAAGAGCCTAGCCATTAAATTAAAGCTGGTGTTGGAATACCTCAACAATTTTATCATTGAAAAGACTACAATTTTACATAAAGCAAATCCAGAGGAAAAAAAATCTTTCTCTTACGGTTGGTATTTAATGACCAGAAAAGAAAAACACAAGCTAAAAAAAGGCATTATTTACATATTTATGTGATTTACAGTCTGTGGCAAGTCCTCTCTTCATGGAGCTCTACAGTGAGAGAGACTTCCATTAGAAGAGGTGCTTCTCTTCCTTCTCAGCCTTTTCTCTCCTGCTATGACCAAGTCTAGTTCAGCACAAAACACATTTGTTATCCCTTTATCTTATCAGTCTCCTGAACCTGATGTTCTTGTGAACGACTAAAACAAATAAAGATTTTCAAGTTTAGATGTTAAAGTTGGCACTTTTTAGAAAAGTGATTTAAGGTGTAATTTCTAGGAAGCCAACCTGAGATGCTTTGAGGGACAGTTTTCTAAAAGGTGGCCCTCATCACTTCTGAAAACCAAGTCTTTCTAAAATATTTCATGTTACATTCCCAGAATTATTGATCACTTTTTAAAACTGCGATAATTTTCCTGGGAATAATATTTAGTTCCTTAATCTACATCCAGTCTATTGAGTCTGCCATTACCTGAACTGGGCAGGTATCTGCAGATATGGAAAAGAAATGAACAAACAAAAAAACATGTAAACACCCTAAGAAAAGAATTAGAGCAGAATTTATCTGCCTAGCTGAGAGAGGTCATGAAGGAGAGGTATGTTCTATCGCACAGAATCACTGCCAAATACAGTTGTTTCTATGTGTACTGTCTTGCAAGTACTTCATCACCATCAGTTTTATCAGATACCAAACAGTCTCAAAGAGCTTCTTTCTGTAGAGTGCTTGCATTATAGTGTTTTGAAAGCTGGGAACTAGAAGGAGTTCCAGTAAGTATTTAAATGACTAGCACTTACCTTTTCTTTTTTTCTCCTGTTCTGTCTTTGCTCGTGCCACCAATTCATTGATTTTCCAAGTTTACATCTTGTTTTGCAAATCCCAAAATGCATTTTAAAAAGGTTCTGTAGTAGTGTAGAAACTGGGGGGGGTTTTGACATTTCTTTATCTGTCTTTAAAAATAATATAATAAAAGTGGAATTGTGGATCATGAAGTTCAAGGAGACCCTCAGCAAACTCAACAGTTTATTTTCATCCTGAAAATATTTGGTGCCTTTTCATGTGTCTTCACTAGATCCATTGCAGTTTTCCAAAACTGTAAGATAACATCCTCACCAACTTTCCTGCAACTGTCTGATTCTCTCTCCATCTTTCACACATTTGGGCTTCAGGGATGTGATTGCTCAGTGCTGAAACAAAAACAGAAAAGAAAATTGCAGTACTTTTTTGCTAAATGGGTCTAATAGTTAACTTTGTAGGAGGTTTGTTGTTTTTTTTTTTTTTTAAAGCATTCAATATGTTCCAGGTAATGTCTTGTTTAATAGCCATCTGCTAATATTTTTACTCAAGCTGACAAAAGAAATCAGAACAAAGAGAAAATGACTGCTCAAGAGGGTAGCACTGAAATGTATTTAAAATAATTGTGTTATAACACTGTCTAACTACAGTATTTGCAAATTTTTAAGATTATTAGCTATCTCCTGTAGTAATTACTTGCAAGGACTACTTTGGTGGACAAACAGAATGAGAAGAGGGGCTGAGTTAATCGGAGTTTATTAGTAATAAGGACACAGAGTAAGAGAGAGCCCTAGAAGAAGCCCAACAGGGAGACAGTCAAACCCACGCCTTTCTGAAACCTAATTTTTGATAAATGCTGAGAAAAGCATTTCAACTTGCTGAAACAAAGGGAGGCTGAATACATGAACCAATGTGGTGTGAGAAGATTTATAAGCATGAGATGCAACTCATTTTCAGATCACATTGACATATATTAGATTATTATCAGTCATTAGAAATACCCAAACTCTAATTGCAGAAGTATCAATTTTGCTAAGTTTTTTTTTAAATAATTGCATTCAAATACTTACATCCTCTTTTAGTTTTTTGAGAAAGGACGACATTTGTCCCAGCCTTAAACTTGTTCCATAGCTGTGTATTGCCAACGTGGTTTAACAATGCAAGTAATGCTAATTGTTTACACAGTAACCTAGGTATTTTTGGACTAAAATGGAGTTGTATAAGTGTAAAGTGCTATTATGAATATGCTTATCTTAGCTTTCCTGAAAGATCATAGATCTCATTAAAATATAGGTGTTCTTTTGTAATTAGCAGATTATTATACTATTGTTATTGAATGAGGCTTATGTTTTCAGTACTTTTTTGTAATTTTAGGTCATTGCAACCATCCCAACAAGTAGGCTAAAGTTTTTAAAGGAGGCAGGGAGGCTCACTGAGAAGGAGGAGGTCCCTGAAGAAGAACTCAATGAAGATGTTGAAGAAATTGATCACGCAGAGAGAGAACTTCGACGTGGACAAATTCTCTGGTTCAGAGGGCTCAACAGAATCCAAACCCAGGTATGCTAAAAGTAAATGCCCATATGGTCTAGAAAAAAAATGCTTTATCTTTGATCAAGGTTATAAGGAAAGCCACAGAGTGTTTGTGCGTGTGAACGATGGTACTTGTTAATTGCTTTACTGTTTTCAAAGGAGGAACACATGAAAAAGTAAAATAGGTGAACTGAACAAAGGGGGGTGTGTGTATAGCAGAAGAGATAAAGTGAAAAGATTATAAAATGATAACATGCAGAAATAGGAATACTTTTTTTGAGACTACTGTGAATGGACATTCTTTTTCTACTTCAGTGATGACAGCTCATAAAATAGTGCTGCTTGGAAAATGCAAGCTGTGACAATGGCTAGCAAAATGCTATGAATGCTTTCTAAAACATACTGTTTTATTTGTCAAAAATATACTGTTACTGCCACTTCTGCAATAACAGAATAATTTAAATTGTTGAGTCTAAAGTATAAAGTACCATTTGATTAAAAAAAAGAATGTTTTTTCTGTTTGGCACTACCATATATATATATCTATATCTATATATATATATCATGATTAAAAGCAATTGATTTTCTTTCCTATTAGGTAATGAAAAATGTGGTTCTGGATTTATTTTTAGTAGTAAGGGCCTAAGCATCCATTAAATATTGAAATGTATGTGTTGGCTACTATGGATGATTTCTTAGAAATAGCTATCTTTTTATTTAAAAAAAAAAAACCCACCCAAATTTTGCTAAATACAAAAATCCATGGCATTTTTTTAATATACTAAATATTTGCACTGAATCATGGTGCTAAATATAGTACGGATTAGGATATCTAGTAAAATTTATCCTGTAGTGCTAAAAAAATTATTTGAACTATTTTGCCTTTTTCATTGCAGTAAAGTAGCATGTTTTATAGCACTCTAGTGCTCTCTACTTGATCTTTCTAAGATCAAGTGTTTGTGCCAGCTTGCAGAAGAGAGCAGCTCTGAAAGACAGATATGTACTCGCCATATCAGATGTGAATGTTTTACATGATGCTTACAAGAAAGAGAGGTGAACAATTAAGAAAAATATTTTTTTCTTTAAAGAATCTTTTAAAGAACATTTTTATCTCAAAAGATTTTAATTTTTGTCTTCATTCAAGATACACAGTACTTTCTCCCTTTTCCCATCTACAAATGGATACATTTTTTCCTGGAGAAAGACATGCAGCCATGCATTTTAGAAAAAATGAGGGAAAGCAGTTAACTGAAACTAGGACAGTTAGGTCTCTTTAGTGCATCTGCAGAGCAAAAAATAAAGAGGGTGGAAACTGCTGTTAGAGAGATTTAAGGGTTTGGGTAAATTCCCAAGGTTCTGTGGTAAGTAATTAAATACGGATCTTCAGCTTTGAGGTTGTGTGTCTTGACTGTATTGAGTCAGGAGCACTCATCATTAGAGAAAATTCAAATTGTCACAGTATAAAGATGACAGACAGGTGCCCAGGTAATGGTGATCTTCATGAAAAGATGACCTCTAAATGTGCATTCTTTTCTTCCTGATGGCTGTAGGAGGAGTGTTGTCTGTGGGCATTTCTGTCAGGATGTCTTTCTGGTTGTGGTGAGTGTAAACAACTACAAGCACAAAAAAGCAAATTACATCCTTTCAGTTCTTTTTCTAGTCTGAGAGGCAGCTTTCCTGCATATCTTTGTCCACTTAATTCACAGATAAATTATTATTCTTTTATACTATTTAAAACAAAATGAACATTAATTATATTTCTTTGCTAACAACCATCTTCTTGGTTTCCTTTCTGCTCTTACTTGTAGAAATATCTTCGGTAGGATGTATCGTTTCTCTCCTGCCAAGAGGCCTCTGTGATTTTTTTCTCATTTTGTTTATTCAGTGACTTTGATTTTTACATCCATTTCACCTCTGTGGAATGATAATGAAAAAAGGAAATGGGCCAACAGATTCAAAAATAGTTCCAAGGTGTCCACTGGAGAGCGATGAACTTATATGCAGGTCAAATTAGATCCATTGTTGGATGGACCTGGAGTTGAGCGCATTTTGATGCGCTATGTGTTGTGGCCCATCCAAATGAATTCATACACTTGTACTACATTTCTCAGGAAGCCAGCTAAAGAAGAATTGATGGAAGAAGACGAGGATGTCTGTAGCATCCTTGGGGAGCTGGAGGATTTGCAAGAATCCTCTGATGTCTAATGCACTTCTGGAGATGCGGAAGAAGAAGGTAGAGCATCCCCTCACTTTATATATATGAGGATGACAGTAAGATTAGGAATAAACTCTAGACTCTCTGACGGCTAGATTGATCACTCAGATCCTAACAAGACCAGTTTCCACCATCATACGCTTGTGCTGTATATTAGATTATCTTTATTTTTGCTTATTTTCTATTCAGTCATTATTGGACAGATAGCCACAGCACTCAACAAAAGCCTTCACTCCTAAAACAGTTATAAAGAATCTATGATAGGTTTTTTTTTCCCCAATAACTGACAGATCTCCCTTGTAATGCTCCAATAAAAACTCATCCAAGCTGACAAAAACTTTGCAGTAGTAAAGATGTTTTTTTCTTTTTCATGCCCTCTCTCAAAACAGAGGGTTCAAACCTAGACACCAGAGAAAGGATTTCCACTGTTGATTCTTCGTACTGAAATGTCAGACATATGAAGACATGCATGAATTTACTTTAAAGAAAGGTGTATGAAAAATGCACATAACAAGTCAAAGAGACTGGCTATCTACTTCTGATTTTCTTTTTTTGTCTACTTTTGTTCATTTAGATATTTTGCTGTCTTATAAATATACTATAGGGCTTCTCTGGATGGATGCATGTTCTCCTTCTCTGAATGGAAGAGTGTTTCCTTACTGGATAGCTCTCTCAGAAGACCACTGACATATGAAGTTTCACAAATGACTCTTCCTAGTTATGCAAGTTTCAGAAAGATATAAAGGTGGTCTCAAATTGCATAAAAGACAGGACTTTTCAACCTCTGCTAGTTTTCAGCAATTTTTTCCAAGTCTTTGTTGCAGTTCTCACAAATGCTTCATTCTGAAGGAAGAGACAAGACTGATCATACCATCTTGGCAGATCTAATAGCCTTTGGAAAGTTCAGCAAGTTCACCTTCAGGCAAAACGGCGTAATCTGAGTAACAACTGAAAATCGTTGCATCTTTTTTAATTGTGTACTGAAAGATTTCTCTAGTTACCTCACATTTGAGTATGGAAACGTTGTGAAGTGTGGAGATTTGAAAACTTCCCAAGCAACATGTCAGATTTTTATAGCGCTGGGCCCGATTCTTTCCTCCTCTGCTTCATTCATCCTGTAATTCAGTTTGCTTTCTCTGCTTAAGGTGGGAAATAACTGTCTAGAAATGTTTTGAGAATAAAAGTAAAAACTGAAAAATATACAGGTGCCATGTTAACTGCTACTGAAAAAAGATTATTCCTCTTTAGATACTAAAAAATACATAGAGGTGCTGTACTGCATTTTGTTTCCCTTCCTTTCTGCATTAAAACTTTTCTCTTGAACCAATGCAAACCCTATAGCAGTGAAAGTCACTCCTGGCAAGTGGTTTTGAAATTAGATAAAAAGCTAGCACCTCATTTTATGGCATTCCATATAGCTTTTAATATAGAAAACATTGCAGTAGCCCAGTGTAAGTGGAATGGAAACTGTTTTGCATCATGCAGAATTTTTTTTTTTTTTTTTTTTAAATAATGTCCTGGTTGGAGATTAGGTGAATGAGACCTGGGTCCTGTTAACATTGATGACAACAGAAATGCGTGCTGAAAAGCTGTTCTGTGTTAAACATCAGTAAAATATTTGTTCTGCCAGGACTATTCTGCTAGTATAAGATACTTTTTTTTTTTTTAACTGCTAATCAGTGATATTTTTGTTAGCTGTGCGTACCTCAAAAATATGGATCTTCTAGAGTATAGAACATACAGAAAAATGAGAGAGAGGTGAAAAATTCCAGCCTTACAAATAAGCTTCAAATGTAGGACAGTATTTTTTTTTTCTCTACCTGAAGGCCTATAATCAAGACATGATTGCATCCTATATTTTGTTGGAAATTTTTCAAACTTTTCATGATGTATGACTTATCATTTGATTTCTCCTTTTTAGCAACTTGAATTGTTCTAAATAAATGCATTCTTTTGTTATTTAAAAATTACATCTTAATTTAAAATGCATTATTTATTTATTTATTTCTGTGAACTCTTTCTTCTTTGTTGTTTTCTGGTTTTGGAAGATAAACTTTTGAGCCAAGTTCTTCTCTCCTTGCTTGGCTTCAGGCAGAACACAGCCCTGTATGTTCAGCTTTTAAGATTCTGAAAAGGTTGTCATCCTCCCCCTATGAATTATATCCATGAAGATCTGTAGTTACTTTCTTCAGGAGAATGAGTAAATTACACGCCTGTAATTCTTGTTCTCTGGAGAAACTATTAAATACAGATCTTCCCTTATCTTTTCACTCTTACACTAAGGTCTTTCCTTTCAGTTTATTAGGAAGACATTTGTGCATCTAGAAATGCCCTTTGGCTTAGGGTTTATCATCTGTGTCTTCCACAGTGATACGCACTTCATGCTCTCAGTAAGAGTCTTTAAAATCTTTTTTGAACGGTCTCTTTTGAAGAGTGCTCTGTCACCTGTGTTAGATCATGAAAACCCAAGATCTGTATTTAATTCTACTTTTGTACAGTGAACATTTCAGGTGAGTATTTAATTGCCTTCATATATAACCGATGGTTTGAGCCGTATGTTTTTTTTCTAGATGCCAATGTGAACCTTAGCTAATGATTCACTTGCACCCCTATTCCACATGCTAACTCATCTCGTATTGTATTTTTTTACTGTGATATCCGTATTGGACATGTAATTCAAAATAAGTCTGCTGCAGAAAACACAGAGCAAAGCTGTAAAATGTTGTGATGACTGCTTTAATACTGTACATCTGTTAGTGTGCACATTTAAGTGGATGTTCTAAACAGGACTCTCAAACAGTGGGTCAGTGAA